TTGGGAAGGCACTTTCCCTCTAGAAGCCTTGATCTCTTTCTAAGATTCGCAGATTTCCAAAGTGATTTTATTAAGTCAAACTTGTCTTATTTATAAGAAAACTTATGGGGGCAAGATGGTAAGATCACCTTTCCCGCCCAGAAGTTTAAACGGTCATTTTTGAAAAAAGTTTAACCTAGAAGCTCAAACGGTTAGAAAATCGCTCCGTTAATTAAAAAAAACGGGAAGACGTATGATTACCCAAACGGCGAGTCAAAATAAACGGCCAGGTTAGCAAAATCCGAACCATTACTCCGAAAAAGGCGGAAGACAGGTGTCCCACCTGATCATAGGCGGCACCCCTCGTCCGTCTGATTTCAAGACTTAGGTCCAAAGATAAAATTAGGCAGACGGCTAGAGGCAATCCGCCCAAAAGGATAACCCCGTGTTTAAATGGACGGTACAGTCGATCTCCTTTCCATTATGATGCTTAAACTGCCCGATACTCGAATGAACCTGGACGAGTGAAAATCAGAGGAGGAGGTCCGTATGGTACGAGCCACCCCCTCTAAGGAGAAAATGTTTAGGGTAAAAAATACCCCAACACGTGGTCCATTACCATAATGACAAGTGGCCCAATAAAAGGGAGACACGTGTCATAATAGGACGATCACACGTGGCAAACAAGAGAACACCTTAATGAAAGAAAGCCTCCTTACATCAGGAGGCCAAAATCCCGAGAAAGACGTCGTAACGGCACCCCCAAAGACACGTGTCCATACCTGATTGCGCCGCCAATTAGGTCACTCCTTTTTAGGGCACCAACCCTAAAAGGGAACACATTCCCACCCTTATAAATACCCCAATCATTTACAATGGGAGGGGTAGATTGAGACATCTCATTGATTGATAAGCAATTTGCTCTCACTTCTCTCTACTTTCTCTCTCTTAATACTTTCGTTTTCCTATCACTAGCTTGATCGTTGGAGGCGAATATTCCGTCAAACGGAACATTTGTTGTTTTGCAGGTGTCCAAGACCGTCTGCCTTTATTCACGACCTGTATCCCGAGGGATTCCAAAAGATCCCCGAAACAGAACCCGCTTAATGTCTTTGGTGCCCATTGATCCCGAATTGGAGCGTTATTTAACTATGCTAAGTAAAGAGGCGAGAGCAATGAGTAAGAAATCTCATACTCCCACACGAGAGGTAGTGAGAGACTCTTCAACCCCATCTTCATCATCCTCAAGTGAAGAAGGAGGTAGCCTTAGTTCTTCCACAAGTTCGGAGATCAACCCTTTCTCCTCTTTTGAATTTGAGAGTGTGTAACCTCGCAACATGGGAGACCAAAGAGTCCTAAAGCCACTAGGAACTCCCGAGGCCTATACACCTCAATGTGGGATCTTAAACCCTACCACTCAAGCAAACAACTTCGAGATCAAACCCACTTTCATTTCCATGATCGAGCAGAGGTAATTTCCGGGTGGGAAATTTGAGAACCCACATGACATGACATTATTAGTAAACAGGCGATTTCCAACAGAATTTCATCGGAAACACCCTATTTTCCGTCGGAATTACGTCGAAAACTGTCGTAATAAAAGTATTTGTCGGGAAAACAACTTTTTCGATGCAATTTTCGTCGGAAACACTTTTTCGACGGAATTTCAGACGGAATTCAAGCGTCGAAAGTGATTTTCCGACCCGGAAAAGTCCGTCGAAAAATTCAGACGAAATCTTGTCTTCCAGAAGTTTCCGACGGAAATTCCGTCGGAATATTCTGCCAGAAAAATTAAAAAAAACAGCCGATTTTCGAGCCACACCACCACCGCCACGAAATATTAAAAAAACCCTTAAATAAAACACCTCCCACCACCCCCTTTCCACCTCTCACCACCACTCACTACGCTACCACCCAACCCAGATCTGCCTGCAAATCCCACCACCACAACCCTAAGCCTAACTTGAATTCACCACAACCACCCACTACACCACCACAACACCAACCCTAACCCTAACCCGAATTCACCACAAGACCCTACCCCGAATTAAGCCACCACCTACCACCACCATGAAAAAAAATCAAGAAACCAGATAAAAATCAAAGTTAAATAAAAATAAAAAGAGATACCTTAATTCCACCATAAAACTTCGAGATTGGGTTTATAAGGAAAAATGTAACCATGAAAACTCTAGATTTAGAGTTTTCATGGTTGAATTTCACCTAAAAAACCTTTGATTTCATACACAGAATTTCGACCAGAGAATAGAGAATAAGGGGAAAGGGAGAAGAAGAGGCGCTGAAGAAGAAGGGGCGAAAAAGAAAGGGAAAAGGGAGAAGAAGAAGGGGCGGAGAAGAAAAGAGAGGAGGAGTGAGAAGAAGAAGGGAGAAGAGAGAGGAGGAGGGAGAAGGAGAAACGGAAAAGAAGGGGAAAGGGAGAAGAAGGGGCGGAGAAGAAGAAGGTAGAAGAGAGGAGGAGGGAGAAGGAGAACAGCAAGAATGAGGGGAAAAGAGAGAAATGAAGGGGTAAGAGGGGCGGCTGACTATTTACTTAATTAGGGTTTTGATTTTTTATTTTAACCTAAATACCGCCGGAAACCCATAAGCGTTTGACAAAACAATCCATAGGAAATTTCCTACGAAATTAAATCCGTCGGATATTTAAGTACTTTCCGACGAATTTAAATTTTCCGAATTCGTCCAAAATTTCCGACGGAAATTAAATTCGTCGAAAATTTCGTATTTTCCCACAGATTTTTGTGTCCGTTGGAACCACTCTGTCAGAATTTGACCTTTTTCTTGTAGTGTGAGCATCTCGAGGAATTTCTCAAGTATTGTGATACCATCAAGGCAAATGGTGTTTCTCAAAAGTACATTTGCCTTAAGGTGTTCCCATTTTCTCTCACGGGTATGGTCGAGCATTGGCTCAAAAAGCTCCCGGTTCTCTTACAACATAGAATGAAGTCACCACCGCTTTCTTGGGACGGTTCTACAATCACAAGAAGACCGCCGAGGCTCGTTCTAAAATTCATCGATTCCGTTAAAGAGTGGAAAATCTTTGTGTGAAGCTTAGGAAAGGTACAAGGAACTTCAAAGACAATTCCCCCATCATGGTATTCCCAACTACGAAGTGCTTCAAACCTTTTATGGTGGACTTTCTCCTCAAAGCAAAACAAGTTTGAATGCCGGTGCGACTAGTCCTATAATGAACGAAAGAGAGGAAGAGGTGGAACGCATCATAGAGGATGTGGTACGTAACTATAGACACCTGATTGTATCTCCCCAAAAAACCAAACCCAATGATGAGTACTTTTCACGTTTTGATTGACGAGTCCAATAAAGAGTTGAAGAGTCTCGCAAAGTTTCCTTAAGCCTTGACCATATTTCTAGTCCTACCCAGAGTGTTTTAATCTAAAATTATTCATTCCGTGTCCTTAAACCCAAAATTAGGTTAATTAGTAAGGTTTAAAGTGTATTATAGTTGCTGGCAATTTGTGAGAATAGTAGATTAATTATAGTTATGTATTCTTATTTGTAGGAAGCTTCGAGCTAGGTGATTTAATTTCTAGCTAGTGTGGCTGATTTTAGGCATTATTCAAGGTACGTATGTGCACGAAAATATTTGTGTATGCGTAGTATCATGCTAGGATTTGTAAAGTAAGATTTAAGTGATGAATTAGTAGAATGTTTGGTTGATTATATGCTTGGAATTGATGTTGGTTGAGCATGATTTGTTATGCAAGAATGTGAATATGTTATTTGAGGCATGATACAAGTTGAGTATGTATGAATCATGGAAGTATGTTTTATTTTCAAGTATTAAGAAAGCATGTATTTAATAAGCAAGGCTTATATATGAATGAAAGAGCTAAAGTTGGAATTATTGAGCATGATTCATGAATTTATTTCTCACCTATTTATTATTGGTGTTGAGTCAAGAAGTTAGTTTATTTATTTACTCACTCAAGTAAGTTGAGTTTAAGTCAAGGAAGTTTAGTAGTGCATCTTATGCACCAAGGTAGTAATCGTGCAATTTTGTGCACAAAACTAGGCAAGGAACCTTAATTAAAATAAATAGTATGTGCTCACTAGTTAATTCAAGAATGAATTGAAAGTATGTATTGATTATTATTATGTTTGTTCTTGATTGATTGGTTGGTTTGAGTCATCACAAGTTAAATTAGTAAATCACGTAAAGTGTAAGAGGATACGCACCAAAACTCTTGGAACATATATACCTTGAGTATGAACATATGGGGGGAGTTATGGGGTTTAATATTTAACCATAGCTTCTACAGGGGTATAGGACGTTGTACTTTATTTTATTATTAATGCGCTGATATTCTGTCACAAGGTGACATAATAGGTGCCAATTAGGGTAGCTCCCTAATTGGAAGCTCAATATTTAAATGGGTTATTTTCAAGGGGGGAAACCCGTTCGATGCGTAATCCAAAATTAATGTTAATAATTAATATTGCTAGTTATGAGTCAAAGGTAAGTTGACTTGTAATTGTATGGCGAGTATGTTTTAAATATTTTTATTTTGATGCTAGGTTATTCATGTTAGTGTGGTGCATATGTACTCAGCTTTGCAGATTCATGCTTTGTTATTTGTGTTTGGCTTTCCTTTGGATTGGCCCTACTATGACCCATTTATATGGTGAGTAGAGGGTTGAATAAAGAGGAAGTAACAGGTACTTGAAGCATGAAGAGCATAATGGGATAGAGTGCAGAGAGTTACTTGTTATGTTTCTTAGTTTTAATATTTTTGAATTATTGATTTGTTATGGACTAACATTATTATGTTTATTTTTAATTGGTTTTTAAGAAGGGCCATGTTTGAATAGGTTCCAACTTGTGAATGTTTTATTCTACATTTGTTTTGAGGTTGTAAACTTAAGTTTTATTGTTAAAAGTTGGTTTTTATTTTTAGACTTCCGTTGTGTGACTTTGAAAAATTTGCCTTAGTCGTTATCATGGTGGTGGTAATATTTTGGTTATTTCCTAAAAAGGGTTTATGTAGAGTACAAAGAGTATTTTAAAAGAAGGAAATTTCCAGGGTATTACAACGACATCATCCACCGAAGCCTGATCCCTATCCCCTGATAGTGGTGCCTTCTTATTAACACCAGCAACACTCTCCCTTGGTACTAGGGGATGCTCCTCCCCATACGCAACATCAACGGCCTATCAACCCGCAAAAAATATTATATACACAATTATCGACCCACAAATCAAATACAATTACTGTTTATGTCTTACTAAAAGCTTGACATACTTGTTGGTCGACACTGTATCTTCAAGAACAGCTGCCTTCACCTCAGCACTGTTCCACACCTTCACCCTCGGGTAAACGCCCCACTTCAAGGGAACTCGATGCAAGTGATCAAGATAATAAATCTACAAGAAACAAAAGCACAAAGTAAATGAGTTTGACATCATCAAAGTAAGAATGAGTTTCTCATCATTAGACAATATTAATTGATTTGATATAGCAAGATATCAATTGAACTCTTATAGACAAACACATATCAAATGACCTCGGCATTTGTATCATTAAAGGGTTCATCATTTTAACTTCATATATAAACAAACAAATCAGAAAACTATGGCAAACCCAATTCAAAAATAACAATCACTGCTTATAATTTTTTTTACATCATGAAAAAGAACATAACCCAAGCAAGGCAAAAACAACAAATAATATTCTCTGACCTCTTTACCTAAATTAGGAGACAAAAAGATTATGAACATTCTCTGACCTATTTACCAGCAGAAAATAAATTAATGCAACTCTCCCACTAAAACACTTAGTCATGTAAAACAAGAAAATAAATAATCTGCGGTGTAGAACAATATTTTAGTAGTCAATATTAAGGCAAATAAGGCTCACCATAACGAACAGCAAACTGCCCCCACAACCTGACCTATAACCATCTTTTTGGTACTTCCTTTGAAATTTGTTGGCCGTGTCGCATAGCCATTCAAAATTCAACGAACACCAGTCATACTTGATAGCCCCCACTGTCAATGCTGGAATGAGTGTCTTTGGGAAGTTTGAATTATTAGTAGAAAGGTCGTCATGAAATCCTCTTCTTTAACTTCATCTGCAAGGGGAATTGGTTCACCCGATTCATCCAATGGACATAAAGCATCTAAAGCAACTTTCAACGAAATGGTTTCGTTGTTTGCACCTACACCATACAGATTAAAAATCCTTCTCATCTTCTGCACCTATTCCTCATCATTCTCACCAATATCTAAACGGGCTTTTTCGGCACCCATTGGTGACCCAAGTACGGACCTCACTTGAGCAGGACCTAAGGGTAAGATCTCACTGTCGCCAAACACCATTGTTCCATCAGGAACTCAGGAAGCACTCTTGTCATCAACCAATAGCAAAATTGCCTCCGTATATTTTTCATGTCAAGATCTTCAAACCCCATTTCTGTCACTAACGCGCATCTTTTTGGATCAAAAACTTTGACTACTTTGCAGAAAGATTCAACCCTACATACAATGTTGGGGTACTGCTACACACAAAAGGAGGAAGTATACATAAGTACCCACCCCGCAAACTCTACTCAGTTACATGCACCAAATAAAATTACGTGCTGCAACATCATGCCTTTCCGACGTTCTCATGATGGGTTTTCAACACTGCCCCTTCGCTCAACACCTTCTGCCCTTCCGACTACACACAAAAGGAGGAAGTATACATAAGACACATACAAATCATAAATACAAAGTTATTCTGTACTTTAATTTGGATACTAATAGGTATTATTATTCACACTTTGGAGTTCTGTGCTACTAATTTATATGATCTCAATTTAGTTTAATTGCTTGATTTAATTACACATTATTAGTGAAGATTAGTATGTATTATCTAATCTTCCCCAACCACTATCAACCATTATCTTCAATAGCTTGACTTATTTGTACTTATTCATTGATTTGTACTTATTCAATACAACCTTTCTCGTTTAAAGTAAAAGTGAAATCTCATAAGTCCAGTTCTTAGAATACTAAAGCATGCTATAAATATATGTCTTAATTGGTAATTATATACTCACTATACCTTTGGCCTCTTCCTCTTCCGACTCTTACTCTTCATGAACCCCATCATCATCTTCATGAACTCAGAGGAAGTGCACGACTCTTCTTCACTATCTCCATCAGAATAGTTATTACTAGAGCCATTGTATTCATCATCCACATTCACAGGGTTCTTGGGTTGCTTTTGCTTCTTTTTAGAGTTTTTCTTCCCCTTCACTTCAGCCCTCCCTTTACCAGAGGGCTTAGAAGTCGATGGATCCTATTGTAAAAACACAGAGAAAATTTAAGAATTCACCAACCACATTCAACTAGAATACAAATACAAACACACAACACTAGCTCAACACCAAGTGTTTCCAGCTCTTCGATCGCACAACTGTCTTCAATCTCATGATTTTTTATTTATAACCTTTTGCGAGGAATACAAACCTGACAATCTAGGGAGAAAACCACAATGTACTTAGCAACATGGATAAAAGCTTCTACCTCAACCAATACAACCAATACAATGCTACAACCAATACAAAGCTACAACCAAAACAAAGCTTTGCACCAAAACAAGAGAGCACAATAGTTCTTATCACAGACTCAAAAACACAATTAAATCAAAACAAGGGAACATAATAGTTCTTATCACATACTCAAAAACACAATTAATTCAAAACAAGGGAACATAATAGTTCTTATCACAGACTCAAAAACACAATTAAATCAAAACAAGGGAACAACCTGCCTCATCATCATCTCAAAGATTCAAAAGCTCAATTACATCAAAACAAGGGAACACACTAGTTCATGTCACAGACTCAATACCTCAATTAAATCAAAATAAAAGGAATCTCAAATAAGGGAACAAACTACTTCATCTCACGGATCCAAAAGCACAATCAAATCAAACAAAGGGAATGCACTACTTCTTCTCAGATATTCAAAACCTCATTTATATCAAAATAATTAAAATAAGAGGAACAAGTTAGGGGACTTTCTTTTAAAACCACAAACCCCGTCATTCTTTGCCATTTTAAAAACCCACAATTTGGAGAACTTTATAAATTGGCCTTACAAAGATCAAAATACACATAATTCTTACAGTTGTCGCATAATAATACAACCCCCTAAACCATTTATACAAACCCTAACAACAACAACAACAACAACAACAACAAATCTTCTCACAATTGTAATTGGGGTGCTTAAAATCAACAAAATGTATGTAATTCTTAATCCCTAATACTAATTTCGGATTAATCCCAAAACATCCGGATTTTAAAAACCCTAACTTTTAGGTTAACCAACTACATTGAAATTAACTTTGACAAAGTACTAAAATTGTTTCATAGAATTATAAATTTGGGGAAAACTAATAAACCCTAACACTGATTTCTTACAAAACCCAAAACATCCGGATTTTTTTTAAAAACCTAACTTTTAGGTTATACGACTGCAATGAATTTAACTTTGACAAAGCACTAAAATTAATTCATAAAGAATTATAAGTTTGGGGAAAACTATTAAATTTATAAAATTAAAAAAAAAAAAAAAAAAAAAAAAAAAAAAAAAAAAAAAAACTTCACTATTACTCACCTACAATGCTTGAATTCTCGACACAGCAAGCCCAAAAACAAATCTTCACCTCGCAGCGGTCGCAATACACGTTGATAGAGGAAATGGAAGGAAGGTAGCGAGCCTACTTTCTCATTCAGAGTATGTGTGAATGACCATAGAGGCAAGACAGAGAGAGAAGACCGAGAGAAGTAAATGGAAGAGAGAGAAAAAATAATCTAATTGTAAGGGCATGTGCCCAAATACGAATACAAAGACAAGGTGTACAATTCTCTCCCCAAATACACTAAAGAAATACAGATACTTCTGCAAACGGGCTGACATAAAGTATTACGGGAAGTGAGTTGGAGCATTTGAATTTACAAGCATGCCCCTCAATATACATTTGTTATTGCATATCTATACTCCCTTTAGACAGCCTCGTTATGAGAAGTTACTAGGGGTGGGACTTCGGTCTGGCAGTTCGGTTTGACCTCGGTTTGAGTCGGTTTCGGTTTGGAGCGGTTCGGATTGAAACGGTTTAGTTTAGCAGGCGGGTCGGTTTGGTTCGGTTTGGGTTAGTCACGGCTCGGTTTGGTTTCGGTTTATTTCTTTGCGGTTTAAATTCGGTTTGGGTCATAAGCGGGTCGGTTTATAAACGATTCGGATTATGTCGGTTCGGTTTGATACGGGTCGGTTTAAGGGGCGGGTTTACCCGGGTCAATGTCAGTTCGGTTTACAAACGGTTTGGATCAAGCCGGTTTGGTTTGAAATGGGTCGGTTTAGGGGCGGATTTACCCGGGTCAATATCGGTTCGGTTTATAAACGGTGCGAATCATGTCGGTTCAGTTTGAAATGGGCCGGTTTAGTAGAGGGTTTACACAGTTCAATTGGTTCGGTTTATGAACGGTTTGGATCATGTCGGTTCGGTTTATAAGCGGTTTGGGTCATGAATTGAATTCATGATTGTTTTAAAGATCGCGTCATGACCATGATTTAATGAGTTGATACTTATAATACGATAAATCGATAATTAAGAATGTACAAGTATTCAATTAGATTGATCAACAAGTGTTTTAAACTTTTAAGTTTTAATGATCAGATATGTAAATAACTAAATATGTTTATCGATTATAGTACATACCAATAATTCAATGAGGCAATGATACTTATGATAGTATGATAATGATACCAACCGTACATTCGTACGATATGATATACATCATATACATAATAATATAATTACATATACATTAACAATATCTTATTGAATCAATTTCCATTTCCAAACATTGCATTTCTTATAAATTATAACTTACACGAGATTAAATGGATTCGTTATTTAGTTTGTTACTTTATTTAGATTACTAACTCAAACAACTTAATAAGTTAAATGGACGAAATCACGAAATCATGACCATGATTTAATGAGTTGATACTTATAATACGATAAATCAATAATTAAGAATGTACAAGTATTCAATTAGATTGATCAACAAGTGTTTTAAACTTTTAAGTTTTAATGATCAGATATGTAAATAACTAAATATGTTTATCGATTAGTACATACCAATAATTCAATGAGGCAATGATACTTATGATAGTATGATAATGATACCAACCGTACATTCGTACGATATGATATACATCATATACATAATAATATAATTACATATACATTAACAATATCTTATTGAATCAATTTCCATTTCCAAACATTGCATTTCTTATAAATTATAACTTACACGAGATTAAATGGATTCGTTATTTAGTTTGTTACTTTATTTAGATTACTAACTCAAATAACTTAATAAGTTAAATGGACGAAATCACGAAATCACTAATTAAAGTGGTGATGAAAGCATTATGCAATACTAATGTTAGTAATGTACGAATAGTCAAATATACAACGGTTAGATTGAATGCCCATGAAAAACAATGGTTAGATTTTCATTACTTTATTAGTTATTAGTATTATTACTTATTAAGTTATTATTAGTTTTATAGTTTATTATATATACTGATATACAATCACAGACTCACAGATGTCAGATATTGTCACATTGATGAGCATTAAGCCATTAACTCATTAAGTCATTAACTATGTCGTATTGAATCAATTTCAATTTTGAAACATTTGTGTTTCTTACAATTTATAACTTATAAGTAATAAACTAATAATAATAATAATAATAATAATAATAATAATAATAATAATAATATAATAGTAGTAGTAAACTAGTAATAATAATAATATTAACAAATAATTATACTAACAATAATAATAATAACAATAATAATAATAAATAATTAAAAAAAACGGTCAAAAAGACCTAGAAAAACACAAAGAAAATCTAGACCGTTAGATCTAGATGAATATTCTAGAATCTACAAAAAAAAAAAAAAAAAATGAACGGTTAGATCTAACTTAGATGTTGAGATTGAATATGGACGGTTAGATCAACTGAAGTAAAACCTAAACCTCATTCACTCATTCAGCCATTTCTCACTCTCACTCTCTCAGCCATTCTCATTCACTCATTCAGCCGTTTCTCTCTCTGTCATAGTTTCTCTCTCTAACTTCTCAGTTTCTCACTCTTTCGTTCTGAAATTCTCAAGCTCAATTTCGTTTCATTTGTGTTTTAGATCTACATTTCTGATTTCTAGCTTTACATTCTCGTTTTTTTGTTAATTTTTGTTGTTTTCGTTTTGATTTTTTTCGTTTTTGTTCCGGTTTGTTAATATAGGGTTTTTGTTTTCGTTTCATTTGTGTTTTGGATCTATATTTCTGATTTCTCGCTTTACATTCTCGTTTTTTTGTTAATTTTTGTTGTTTTCGTTTTGATTTTTTTCGTTTTTGTTTCGGTTTGTTTATTTAGGGTTTTTGTTTTCGTTTCATTTTTGTTTTGGATCTAAGTTCTGATTTCTGATTTCAAATCTTCCTCTCCTTCAAGCCGTCAAACCCTAAGGTAATTTTTTTGTTAATTTATTCGTTTTTTTCGTTTTCGTTTCGGTTTTTTTTTTATTTCAAGTTCTGATAAATTCTTGATTTTTTCTTTTGATCTCCAGTTCAGGTAAGTTCTCCATCTTCAAATCTCCTTCAAGCCGTCAAAGGTAATTACTTTTTCCTTTTCGTTTTTTTTTTAATACAGTTTTTCTGTTTTTGTATTTGAATAATTTGATTATTGTTGTTGTTCTTGCTTGAATATAGTCGAAATATGCCTAAAATGAGTAAAATCTGTTGTTGATTGTATTTTTGTTTTTTACGGGAAAATGGTAGATTTGTGCCTAAAATGAGTAATCACGTTTGTTGTATAATTCTGAATTTTGAAACATTGACTAGTGCAAATGAAATTCTGTTATCAAGCGGATGTTGAGGAAGACGTCCTCCTTATTGGTAAAGAGATTAAAGCCGAAAGTGCTTCATCTGCATAACTGGTATTTGTGTCTCATTGTGGTTTATTTTATCTTGAAAAATCGTTGCCCTTGTCATTTATTTTCAGACTTGCTGGCAGCATTTTTCTAGACTTTTAAAATCGTTGCCCTTGTCATTTATTTTCAGACTTGCTGGCAGCATTTCTTAAGTTTTTGTTAAAATAACCATTGCTCGGTGATGTAAATCTGAGAGCAATTTTAAAAAACAAAAGCTATAATTTTGAAGTTGCTTGAACTTGTTATGAGCTGCTGCCTGCTGGTAGTGCTTTTGCCTTTTGGTTGTTGTCTCTGCTGAGTTGTTATTGCCTATATTGTTGCCTGCATGAGCTGGTTCCTGCCTCCTGCCAGCTTGAGGTGCTGTGTTGCTGCCTTTTGTGTTATGAATTTATGATAAGTTTTGTTGCTGCCGTTTCTTATGCTTGCTGTTTTAATTTTTCTTGAATCATCGTTGCCCTTGTCATTTATGTTGAGACTTCAATGTATATGTACTTGCTGGCAGCATTTTTCAAGTTTTAAGTTAAAACAGCCATTGCTCAGTGATGATACGATAAACGTAAATCTGAGAGCAATTTTGAAAAACAAAAATAAGTTCCTCCCAAATCTGTGCGGGTTCCTGCTTGTTGCTGCTATTTCCTCTGCTCTTGGTTGCTGTGCTGCTGCTTCAAGATTCTGCTTCAAGATTCTGCTCCCAAATCACTCACATTCTCACTCCTCCCTTCATCTTATCATGTATCATTTTTTCAGTTGATAAATCTGAAATCTAATCTTGGTAGTAGTGATAGTAGTTTCATTATGTATTGCCGTATTGGTATATGTATTGTGAATTTTAATCAATGAAAATGGTGACTTTTTTTAATTGCTTGTTGATATTACTCTAATTTTAATGTTATTTATCTCCAATCTTATGTTATCTTACTGGATGATCATGAATATCAAGGAACAATGAAGATAATTTGGGTGGACTTTATTACTGGAATGAAAAGATACAAATGATATATCTTGTAATTAAAATAAATAAGTAATCTAAAATGATATTAATAATGCCGTTGGCCTAGATCTAGGTGATATAAACCTTTGTATAAACCTAAGCCGTTTGATTAGATCTTATTAACATTAATTATTTTATTGTATTTACTACTTAGCCATTTAGGTTGTAAATAATTCAATTTGAATTAAGCAGTTTGTAATCGGATAAGTTTAAACAGGTTGCGATTCGAAAACAGTTCGATTTTAACGGTTTAACGGGTTATGGCAGTTTAGTTTAGACGGTTAGCGGATTATAACGGTTCGGTTTATACGTGCGGTTTAACGGTTTTTTTTTCGGTTTAAACGGTTTCGGTTTATAAACGGTTCGGGTCATTAACGGGTTTATAAACCATTCGGTTCGGTTTCGTTTCGGTTCGGATTTGCGCAGTTTGGTTTGTTATCGGTTTACGGTCCGTAACGGGTTGACATTGAGCGGTTCAATTCGGTTTCGGTTTGATATTGAACGGTTCAGTTCGGTTTTCGGTTTACATTTATCGGTTTATAAACAGATCGGTCCGTGATGGTTCGGTTCGGTAACGGGCGGTTTCACGGTTCGGTTTGAAAAGTCCCACCCCTAGAAGTTACCAAGAACCTGGAGTCCTAGACTACTTGTCGGGTCTAAAAGTCAAGTGACTCTGAATGGGTCTAAAAGTCAAATGACTTTGATTGGTCTAAGATTATGGGCATGACTTTTATATAAATATATAATAGGCACTCTAGCGGTTAGAATAAGTAGCTTGAATGTCAGTCTGGAGTCTGATATTAGGATCAGATGGTGTCTTGTTTGCATTTCGTGACTTTAAGACATAAATTACTACGGAGTAATATTCAAGTGGTTAAGAACTAAGAGTTATTCTATATTTGTAGTTACACTGAGGTCCTGTTCACTTCACTTTATAAAAATAATATTCAGTAAAAAATAATTTCAGTTCAGTAAAAATAAGTTCAGTTTAGTAAAAATCATTAATTGTAAAGAAGAAATATAAAAAGGATCGGTAAAAATAATTCAGTTCAACAAAAGTAATTTCAGATCAGTAAAATTAATTTCAGTTCAGTAAAAATAGTTTTAGTTCAGCAAAAATAATCTCAGTTCAGTAAAAATAATTTCAGTTCAGCAAAAATAAAGTGAAGTGAACGGGGCCTAATTAGGGACTTTCTTGCAATTTTGAATAGTCCCTAACTACAAAGTTAATCGTTGGAGCAATTAGTTTGACCTGATCGCCTGATCCTAGAAATAGTTTGTATCTTTCTTAGTTTCAATTAGTCTTTTGGTGAGGTGAACGCATTAAGGAGTCAAGGCTTGTTTAGTTCACCTTACTTTTACTTATCTGATCTAATATGAACTTAACTGGTCTAGTATGATTTGATTTGATCTGGTTTAATATGATGTCCAATTTGACTAAACTTTGACCTTGTGTGTGCAATAATATCTTGAGTCTTATTAAATTTGTAATAAAGTGTATTCTATTAAAATGTATTTTTCATAATTTATTTAATTTTGGGTCTTGTTAAATTAGTAATTGGTGTATCTTATTATTATGTAATTTTCATAATTTATTTAATTACAAAATTAAAGATATTTAACAATAAAAAAAATTTATCAAAATTAATACAAATTTTGAGCAATCCGCTAAAAACAAGTCAAACTTTTGATTATTTCTAAATAATACAACTTTGGGGTTTTCCGCTTTAAACAAGTTATTTTACCTGCAACCTGAATGAGCGGTTAAATTTCAACGTAAGGGAGATTGTGAAAGATCACAACACAAGCTGTGCAAATTGAGAAAAATAAAGAGTATATTATACACTCCATTTTTCCAGAATATTGAAAATTTTTACCAACTCAAAAATCAATCTTGCACATTTAATGGAAAAATATATGCACATTTATCCTTCTCATTTTAAGAAACTTCTCATTGGATCCTAACCCTTTATATATATATATGATGATGATGATGATGATACCCTCAATGAAAATTATCAGGACTCAAAGATGCACACTGTCAACCAGAAAAGTACTTCAAATCCCTTCCCCTCTCTTTTGCTTGCAGAAGAAATGGCTCTATGAAAAGAAGGGAGAACCAGACTCTTCAGACATGTCAAAGAAGGTTCTTCTCAGCGTATTGCTTTTGGAGGTTATACACCTAATATGTTACAGATTACAGATCATTAAACATGCTAAAAAGTTTTGAGCTACGTGCTTATGATGGGTCCCAGTTATGGGTATAATATCAGTAAGAGTACAGTTAAGACCATAGTGCTGTACAAACTGCCATTCCCCACAGATCTTTCAACCTCTTAAAAGTCTTCAACTATGTTCTTTTGCAGGGTCCCAGTTATGGGTATATGATCATAAAGAGTAAAGTAAGACCAATGTGTAGTACACAATTGCCGTTCTTCAGGTAATAGCAGACACTGAGAAAGGCGACAAGACAAGCTGAGCAAAATGAAAAATATCACACAGAGAATGATCCCCCTGCCCCTTCTTCAATGACCGCGATTAGGTGTCGAAGATGTATGCAGCATTCCTTATAACTAGAAAAATACTTAAATCTTTTCACTAACTTCTCCTGCAGAGGAAATAGCACAAAAGATACAGGCATTTCTGACACGCCAAAGGAAGTCCTCTCATCACTTGTGCTAAATATGATACAAATTATTATTGCATGCTTAAGGTCTTTTAATGAGCGCTTCTTGGTTCCAAGAATGATGGGAAATACACGTAAAAGTAGGATAATGTTTGGAAAACTGTGGAAATTTTCAAGCTTTAGAGTAAATATACAGTAGAGTTTTAAGTTTTAATGATTGTGTCGTTGCTTCTGCCATCTTTCACACTTTCAAAAAGTAATAAATAATAATAAATAAATTTATTACTGCAATTGGGTTTCAGAAATACAATCATATTTATGCATTGGTTGCATACGAACTTGCCACAATATATGCATCTGAACTTGTAAGAACTCAGTGTAAGCCACAAGTTATAGAAAATAATTAGAGGCCCACAAGAGGTACAAAGGTTACTACATTAGTTAAATCAAGGGATGAAGAGATGAAAGATTCTAACAATGATTCTAATGTACCAAATACATTGTTCTTGAACAAAAGCTAGATCTCAATAAGAGAGACTACGAAAATTGTCAAAATAATAGGATTCAGAAAAGACTAACACATATAGCATTCCGCCTACCCGTAGTGCTGTGTAAATAAAAAAATGAAAGTCACCCTTGCTCTTATGAACAAGTAAACACTAAGTGAGTCATCTCAAACATTTCAGCCATGCATTGAATACCTTCCCATGATCTTTATGTAAACTAGAAATTTCTGCAGAACCGTAACCTGTCAAACATCTAGATAGCCCTACAGGCAACCCTTTCCTCATCACTCCTCAAACAATCAAATTATATGAAGGTTTCTTCAAAATAATTATATAGTAAAAATTGGATATACATCATTAAGGTGCTAAACTAAGGTAGCCTTCTATAAATTTCGGATGATGCTAAGAGGATGAGTGATCCAAATGAGTATATGAGCAGGTCCTAGCACATAGTGAAATTCTATGAGGTGTAAAGTAAGAGAAAGGGGGGAAGAAAGAGAGAGATATACCAGCAATCTCCCAGCATTCCCAGCACAGCCCCAAGTTGGGAGCATAATTCTGGCTTGTCACCAGATTCCTTTAATTGTTCCCTGATATCGGCAGCACAAAGTGACAGCCTGGATTTAGCACTTTCCACGTTCTGAGCACGAAATCTACGAATGCAAAAGAAAGTACATGATAGAACATACTTTTAGAACTAAAACTTAACAGTTGACTAACTTAAAGTTCAAATCTGTTGCCATGCTTTTAGACATTGACAATTCACACCCTACTTACCCTCATGGCATGTTGAACCAAAAAAGCACCTCTCTCTAATGAGACATCTTCATAAATCACAGATTTATTTTTGCTAACTTCCTCCTCGGTATCTGTACTGGCAGGAGACCTCTTGATTCTGGCATGACCAGCAATGAACTTATCAACAACCTTTTGAGTTTCTTCATCATGTTCAATCTTCTCAATATCAGCTCCACATAATGGACAGTCCTTAAAGCGAGATATGCATGCCCTGGATTGCCAAGCACAATAAGAAACCTACTCAAGGATAGAAAGAAGCAGTAACATAATAATCGTGATATTTCCTTTAAAATAAAGGTGTTGAAAGCAGTAATGGTCACAAATAAATTCAACTTACTTGCAGAATATGTGGGAGCAGGGCACACATTTACTGCTCTCAAACAAAAGGGCTTTGCATAGCACACAGCTGAGAGGGCCAATTTTGAATGAACGAGAATCATATCCAAGAGGACACTTAGGTTCAATTATGCCAGAATCAACAGACTCGCTTTTAGCTTTACTCTCATGTTCTGCAGCATGCTTACATATATTTTCACCACTTCTTTTCGATGAGGCATCGTCAGGACGAGTAGCTTTGACGAATGGGCACACTGGGGTCATCTGTTCCAACACTGATGGAAGCAAGTATCAGAGATCAAGCATTTACATGATCAATTAGCCTATTAGCACATTATAAAAATCCAACCAGTTTCACTTTAAAGTCAAATCTGATTATCTGAACCAAACAAGCAACCACAGAATGGAGAGAAAAATCTTGGAGAAGTTACCCACATAATCAACAAAAACAACAGTGAAAATACGAAACAAATGGATAAAGGTTTTTCTGCCAAAGCTACAGTTACATCTGGAATCAACCAAGGAAACATATAGAAAATACTCCAACAACACTAATATAATCAAGATTTTCCTTTCTATAGGAAGATCAATGATATCAAGAGAGCCGGATATGAATATCTAACAGATTACAGCCAGCCTATTAACTAGAGACAAGAATTTTTTACGTTGAAGGCGGGTGTTTTGTGGCAAGAGAGCTGCCATGTTTAGTCATCACTCGCATGAGCAATTGTTCAATCAACAACAATCATTCTATGTAGCATGATCCCTCACACTCTAATTGCAGAAAGCCGGGATAAAAATATTGCTTCATCTCACAATAATAGAAATCTCCCCAAGGGAATCTCACCATCTATCTTTTTATAAAAGATGATCTAAGATCTGAATTGCCCTCTTCCCAGCCTAGAATTACAAACTTGCTAGTGTCTCAATCCCTTTTGAGTTTAAAATATCCTTTCCAGATCCTTCCCGAAGTTATGTCCCAGAATGGTCTGGTACTTCATATCATTTTACCACATTTAAAGATAAAAGGTTTGATGTAAATAACACTGCACAACTCTAAACATTTTCTTTTTTAGTAAATATAAAATGTGCTTCAATTAAGTCATCAGCTTCCACTCATGGATAAACTAATGTCCGCAAAATTACTTCCACAAGAGCAAGAGGGTTCTGAAGATTCTTCCTAGAGATTGAATGACAAAAAAAACACTTCTTGTTTTTTTATGTGGAATGGAAAATTGGGAAATAAGAGGGTTGGATTTAAAGATCCCTATATTGATATAATTAACTCGGACCAAGAAAAAAAAAAACACCTAAAATTCAATTAGAACCAATATGATCCTCTGATGTCTTGCATATCAAAGATGACTCTGCATTCAACGGGCATAAAATAGAAAAGGTACATATTGACCGTACCACAACAATAACATGGTGAAAGATTATAATACTTCGTATATGATTATAACACCAACTTAAATTCTCCTTTCAATAACGAATGAAAAAAATAAAGCAATCATATTGATATCTTCGGCAGCTTTACAGACTCTTGCATTGCCACTAACACTATGTTGATTTACATGCGAAACATGTACTATCAGAATATAAATTTGGCTTGGAATATTCGAACATATGCAAAACAAATTTACCACTATGTATTTGGTCCACACCGGCCCTCAAGTCTATAACTACGGATATTGTATTATTCCCTCTATCCTTTTTATTTGCCCCATTTGACTTTATTTATGAGAGCTTCTCAAACGAAATGTGGGAAGTACAAAAGAGCGGAGAGAGTACGACTTATCACCGTCATTGAAACCTACATCTTTAGGTATCCCAAACAGCTCAGATTATGATAAACAATCAACATCACAATTTCAAAAATTAGACTCTTCACCTCTAATAAGAAAACCCCAGATGAATTTTGATATTACATCTATAACTCATACAATTCAACACCATAACTACCCAAAAAAAAATGATTTTCGCATATTATTTGATTAATACAATTTAAACAATTACCCAAAACATATCATTCCATAAAAAATAAAAAGTAACCCAGATCATACAATTATAAAATACAGCAACAGAAACCAAAGAATACTACTCAAGAAATTATTCCGTAACATAAACCATAGGATCTAGACATCAAATCAAGACTAATTATAATTGTTTTCATAAATAAAAGAAATTCAATAGTACCTGAAAATAACAGATCTGAAATAGGGAGATGAGAGGAGGATGGTGTTCAAATGGCGGGGGGAGAGTAAGTGTGAAAATGGTGTTTGTTTGGATAGGATTTTTTTTAGGAAGAAAGGAGGTGGTGAAAATGTCAACTGTGCAGGTAATCAGGTATTGAACGGGAAGTTGTTTGCAATTGCCAGCATTATATATGTATATTCCTGTTTTGCCCCTCTCAATGTGGAAGTGTGCAACCCTCCAGAGCCTAGAGCAGTGATGTCAGTGGGGCGGGTTAAATAGGAGATCCGAGGCGGGTTAAATAGGAGATCCGCCCCAATGGAGCAGGGATGGGTCTTGGTTTGGCGGGTGATAGGGCGGGGATGGAAATAAAAACATACTCACCATGGATGATCGGACTGGGGTGGATTTTTGGTTGTACCTGCCCCATCTCCGCCCCGCTCATCCGCCCCACTTCGTACCCGCCTCATCCCCACCCGCCCCATTCTTACATCCATATATTTTTTAAAACAAAATTATATACTTTTATACAATTTTATAAAAAAAATTGTGTAAAATAAAATAGTAAATATAATACTTTGTAATACACTTATATTATAAACAAAAAAAATGTGTAATATTAATAATAATTTTTTCCTTTTTTTTGCAATCTTTATCAATTATGAAGGATTGTGTATTTGGAAGGCGGGGATTAGGCGGGTCTTAGGTGGGGATTAGGTGGGGGTGGATATCCAAGTGGGGTTGGGCGGGGATGGTTTTGGAATTGTACCCGTCGGGGCGGGGATGGGGATGAATTTTAGACCCGCCGCGGGGATGGGGATAGAGATGAGTATGAAACTTTAGATGGGGATGGGGATGGGATGGGGATGGGAAGGCCAACATCCGCCCCGCCCCGCCCCATTAACATCCCTGGCCTAGAGGTGGTCAAAGGGCGGGGCAGCACGGGTTCAGGCCGAGACGAGGCTAAAAAAATCAGCCTGTTTGGTCAAGTCGGCCAAGGTTCATAAGGAAAATGCTGGTCTAAAAGCTACAAAATTAAATCGGGTCTAGTGGGCTTTATTGATTTGGGCTAATAAAATACCTAAAAAGCTTAGCAATGCATGACTGAGGCCCGTGGGAAATTAAGAAATTTTTGGGTTGGCTTAGCCCAACCCGACTTCGTAATGAAATTTTTTGCCTAAAGCCAAATGTTATATAGAAATAGGTGGATCACACCTATAACATGAATATTTAATAAAAAAAAAATATGAACACATCCATGTTTTAAAAAGTATGAGAAAACGCTTATGAATAGTGTGAGGACAATTATATCCTTAAATAGTTTGTTTACCTATATGCCCCGATTGATATGATGTTAATTGTAATACCCTCATGATTGCTTTAAAGGGATTTAATATACTGATCATACTAACAAGATGTATTTTTGTAGGGAGCTCATATGCTAAGATACTTCTCAGTTAAGAGTGTTTGACTTGGAGTATTCTTAAGATGGATGACACTATGGGGAAGTTTTCTAGGGTGCGCACCCTGAGTGTTACATTTTATGCATAGTGTTTGGACAGTTTTACTCTCTAAAATATTTATTTACTTATTTGCCATCATTAATGTTAATTGCTTTTTTTTAAGCTTTTAAGAATAGTGTACGGACGTTTATACCCCTAAAAATATTTGTTAATAAACTTTCCCTCAATAATGTAGCCCACAACTAAAAGGGCTTTGAACATGGGTAACTATGGCGCGTGTGTAAAACCCTAGAAATTACTTCCCTTTAAAATACCTATTTTGCTCTTTTTAAAATACAAAATAGGAAATTCTAAGACATTACCGCCAACATGAAAACGGCTAAATAATTATCAAAGACACACATCGGAATACTATCTTTTAAACCATCCAAACAAATCAACTAAAAAGTCAAATCAAAGTCAAACGAAATCAAACAAAATCAATCTACAACTTGGAACCATTGTAGGCCCTCATGAAACCGAACAATACTCAAAACCCTTTGTGTTAGTTTCACAAGCATGATAAAATAAATAATATTTAAAGCACATCATATTCCTACGGAAACTAAGCATGATTTGCTCGATCTTCACTCATGTCCATCATGAATATGCTCCATCACCTGAAAAGCTCCTCTTTACTTGTCCCCGCTACTCGTCATTAGAAATGGGTCGTCGTAGGGCTAAGATAGAGACAAGGCCAAACAAACATACAAACACACAATCAGCAATGCTGAGTACATAAGCGTAACTAAAACACACATATATGCTTCATCCTATCATCACACAGCTTACCTTGTTGCACCTGTGCACAAGCATACAACGTACAACACAACCATACAACAAAAAAAACTAGTCTAATTATTTAGCTTGATTACGCATCGAACGAGTTTCCCCCTAATCTGCCTTAATAAAGGGGTACTAACACGGGAGCTAACCATGCTAGTATACAAGAACCACTTGTAAGTGGCGGAATTCCTGCGCATAATAAAAAGGAATATACAGTGTCATGTACTCCCATTAGAAGTTATGGTCAAATACAAAGTCGCATAACTCTCCCCATATGTTCATACTCGAGATATATACATTCCAAGAGTTTTGGTGTGTAATATCTTTCACTTTACGTTTTTACATATTTTTAGACTTGATGATGACTCTCAAACCATAATACAATCAGTCATTATAATTCATTCAAGCAATCAAACATGTCAATTTAATTCTTGTATAGTTAGTTCTAAACATGTCAAATTAAATGTTGAATCCTTTTTAAACTACCTCGATGTTAAATAACACCTTAAGCGCATAAAGCACCACATACTCAAATAATTACTAAGTACGCGAACGTACCTTGAATATGATCTCAAATCGCCATGACTAAATGAAATCACTCACTTGGAATTCTCCTACAACCCAAAATTACAAAGAGACATTAATACCTATTCAATATAAATTTTAGCAATATATAAACTCTTTCAATTACTTATAAACCCTCTAAAACAAGCTGAAATTTAATTTAAAACCCCTACTTTTATTCCCAATTAATGGGTAATTAAAAATCCTTTCAAGAAACATAATTATAGCTTATATATAAAAATTCCAAATTTATTAAATCATTTAAATTGCTGTAATTGTGTTTTAAAACACTTATTTCAATAATTTAAATCATCCATAAACAATTTCCATCAATATACATAAACTTATAAACCTAGGTTTATAACTTGGGGCTTTTTAATTCAAAACCAAATTTAAAAATTTATATACATCATAAAAATCATCACAAAACCCAAAAACAATAATTAGATCAAGGGTGAATTTAATTAAAATCAAAAGAAGAATTTTTTTTTCCGAAAGGGGCGCACGACCACCAAGGTCGGATTGCTGCCGAGCCCGCCTGGTGGCCGCCGCTGCCGGCGAGTACCGGGGGTGTGGTGGCCGCCACTGCTGGCGAGTGCTGGTGGTGGTGGGCGGCGACCGGTGGTGGCTGTGGTGGTGGTGGTGTGTGTGTGGGTGGTGATGAAACAAAATAAAAATAAAGGGGAAGGGGAAAATAAGAGAGAGAAAGAGAATGTTACCTTAGGTATTCTCCACCTTGGATAAAGTTTAATTTGCCCATATCATGTATATTTATACTCCCTTTCTAAAACCCTCCTAGACTTAAATTCCCTTTTTACCCTTAATGATCATTTTCCTATTCAAACTAACATTTTGACTTTTCTTAAAAACCTTTGACTTTAAAAATTACCTTTTTATAAAATTATATGCCCCAATGATTTTAAATTATAAAATAAAGTATTTCCAAAATTATTAAATAAATAAATTGGACCTTTAATTTAAAGGATTAATACTGTTTTTTAATTCCAACTTTCACCAATTTATTTTATTAATCCCAACTTTGGATTATTCCTCAATAATCCCAACTTTAAGGTGGCCTATCTTTCTTCATACCCAAACCGGTCAACAAAAGTCAACAACCTTCTATTGTAGGTCGTTGGACACGTGTCGCCACTTGAGTGGTCCAATTTTATTTTATTTTTTTTTACTGAACCAATTTTTTTTTTTTTTTTTTTTTTTTTTTTTTTTTTTTTTTTTTGTAAAAAAGAAAAAAACAGAAAAAAAAAAATTTCCTTTATTTTTTCATTAAATTTTTAATAAAAAAAATATTTTTTTTAATTTTTCCCTTCACCTTTAACAACCCCTCCCCCTCCACCTCCATTAATGACAGCCAGCCAGCCACCATCCCCTCCATTTCCGGAGTCCCCACATCCCTCCATTTCCAGCAACCCTCCTTCTCCTCCGTTTCCGGCCATCCTTCCACTTCCCCTTGAAACCCCTACCTGAAACCCACCTGAAATCCCCTTTCCTCTTCCCTTCCCTTTCTCCTCCATGACTTCCGACCACCCAATCGAACACCCAAACCCCTCGAATTCCAGAAAAAACCCACCCACCTTATCGAAAAATCGCCAAAAAACCCCATCCCATGGCCGATTTTTGGGTTTCGAGATGCTTAGCGTAGGTTTCGGGGTTGGTTTCATGTGGTTTTTGGGGATTTTCGAGTGGGGCTGGTGGCTTTGAGGGATTTTCGAGAGTGGGGCTAGTGGGTTTTGGGGTTTTAGGGAGTGGGGCTAGTGGGTTTTGGGGTTTTAGGGAGTGGGGTTGGTGGTTTTTGGGGTTTGGTTGGTGGCGTGGGAGTTTCGGTGAAGGGGGATGGTGGTTTGGCTCGTAGCGGCGACTCTAGTGGTGGGGAGGGCTGGCAGTCCGACGAGGGAGGTGGCTGGGCTGGCGGGTTACCGGATCTTTTAGGGTAGTTGGGGTTTTGGCTGGGTGGTTTTTTTTTAATTGGATACTTTTGGTTTTTTTTTTTAATTTTTTAAAGCAATTAACATGTGACACGTGTCAAATAATTTTTGTAAACTTTTTAAACCCATTCAGCTGGTCACAAGATTTTTGGATTGAAAAATAATAGGCCACCTTAAAGTTGAGATTATTGAGAAATAATCCAAAGTTGGGATTAATGAAAATAAATTGGTGAAAGTTGGGATTAAAAAATAGTTTTAATCCTAATTTAAAACTAAAACTCTTTAATTTAGTAAAATATCATAAATAATTCATTTCAACTTATTTAAATACTTTAAGAAATACCAATTTCAATTATAATACGTATAAAAATACAGGGTATTACAGCGTGCATCGCGCGCATTAGCCACTCTAGGAGTCACAAAAAATGAACATCTATATTACTATACTAAAGCGATACTTTTTTTCCTCTAAAAGAATTATAATCCCGCCTATTCTTTATTGTGGTTTTTTTTAATCTCTCTTTTTTTTTATTGCCTCTTAGTTGGTTAGTTTGATATCCAAATTTATCCAATCAAAGTTGTGACACTAATGATTTCAGTTATACATAGTATTTTGATTCTTGTGGGTTTTTGAATTTTATGTTTTATTTTTTTATCACCTCCCTATTTTTTTATAATATCGATCATTTTAACATAGATGTACTGAGTTAACATCCCGAACATCGCCCAGGTACTACCCAACTTAGTAATAAAATATGAACACATAATTTAGGAGAAAATACGTGTTCATCGATCATTTTACATTTTTTTTCCTATCATTAGTAGTAATTTAGGAGAAAAAAGCTCTTAAAAATAACAATACAAATTAATAATAATACTAATAATCATTTCAGTGGATGACCCAATGCAAAATTCTTGTCATGCCATGAGGATTTATCAACTTTATTTTTTTGCACCATTTTCTGATTGGTCATGATTTGGGATGTTGTAAGATCATACTCTTGGAGTAACTTTTCCTATAGACCAAGGAGAATAAAATCAAGAGCCAATTCCATCCCATCAAAGGAGAGAAAAAACTAATTTAGGACACATGTTATTGCGTTAGAAATGGGTTATATAATGCTATCAATATTGGTCAAATTAGTTTTAAAGTCGAATTGGTTTGGGTCAGGTTCAAGCGGGTTTGGACCAAAATTGAGTTACTTCTCTTGGGTATAGTTTAGTTTAGTTCGGGTCGATCATGAACTCATGGCTAGTCTACCAAGATCCAGTCCGTTGCTTTCATTCTTCTCATCATCCTTTCAAGTCTTGCTTTGGTTGCCGATTTGCCATGAGAGTATGAGACAGGAAGGCATGAAAATACAAATAACAGATTCTTCTGTTCCAACCAAAAGCTACTTTCAAGGTCAATTTCATAATGCACACAAATTCCAAATTTTAAAGGAAATGCAGATGAAAGTTTTATTTTTGATCCAATTTTAGCAATTTGTTTAAGTAGCGTAAATCTCAATAATATGCTTTGTAATTGTCGGAACAAAGGAATAAGTATTGGCGCATAGGCCCTATATACATTACTTGCAAATAGGATGACATTTATGTAAATAATGGGAATCTGAGAAAAATCGGTGGTAGAAAATATGAAGACAAAAAGTACCACTACATGCATAATAGTACATAATAGTACACAAAAATGTACCACTGTATCATTAAAAGAGAGAAAATGTACCACCGAATCCCCGATCGCCCTCCTATATGCATGCAAATACATAGGCCCTATGCGCCTATATGCACTCGGAACAAAGTAGTGTGAAGTGTGAATTTTGTGAAAAACCAAAGTCCCACATTGGTGGGAAATGAAAGTTTTCCCTCCTTTATAAAGTGAATAGTGGAGTACTTGGGTCTGGCCCAAGGGCTACCCACATTTTGTGGAGAGGGAGGACTTACCTACTAAGCCAACCTATCACACACGCGCGTGCCGAGCTGGGTCGGGTTTATTAAATAAACTTACTTTTTGCACGGTTTTTGAACAAGGCTTAATGCCTTGGTTTTTGCTAAACGTTTTTTGATTTGACTGATTCTCTTCATAACCGTTTTAAGACTCATTCAACATTACCATTTAAATGATTTTGTTCCGTTTTGACTGGGTTAATTACCGTTTTCTAATTAATTCTAGAATTTGTGCTACCGTTTTGACTGGTTTTGCCTACCGTTATACTACTGCTGTGGCTATAAAAAGAGACTTTGCTCACCGTTTTCAAAATACAGAAAAAAAAAAATTATTTTCTTATCTTCTTCCTTCTAAACACAGAATTCCAGCGGTTACTTATAATTTTTTGGTGTTTTATTTGTCCGGTGGTTCTGTGTAAACCCATCGGTATACTTTTCTATTGAGAGGCTGTTTTATCCTGGGGGACATTCGGTGAAAGTTTGAGGGCAGTAGCGTGAATGTTCTAAAGAGAGCGATATAGTCCGCGACTCAGTCTCATTCCCGGTAACATTGTTCTTACTGTTTTTGTTCCTGCAATTCCGTTTACAACAATAATTCACTAAGCTAACATATGCACAGATACGTTTTAACACTCGACTCACGCATTGCAATCAGTCGCATCGCTGCCCAACAGATTCGATTCTGCTTCCACTTTTCAGCATTATATTTGCAAAATGCTGCCAGCAGCCTAACAGATTTGATTTTGTTTACAACGCAAACGAAACAGTGATTGCGGCATCTTTGGATAAAGTGATTAACTCACTTATCTGTGTAAGTTCATAGATACAAACAATGCTAAAGGTAAAATCAGCTGGTTATAGCAAAGTGCAAAATGTTTCATAAGCGTATCAAATAAATATCATTTTCCACCGAAAAAAATGAAGGCAGAGAAGACTATACACTTCTTTGAAGGCCTAATTTTTCTATAATTGGTCACCACCCACTAGTCCACTAGTACTTTGAGGGTAGCCATAGTTGACAACTTAATACACAGTAAATGACAATAAAATTCTACCACCTCAAAAGTTCCATTTTCTGCCACAGAAAAAATTGTATTGTTTTGAGAGACATGGATATTAATTATTTTGCAACAATCATCCCCTCACTCGCACCAGGAACAGTCTAATCACCTGCAAGTACATAGGTCAGGGTGGCGACATTTTGGGTTCAATTATATTTGGGATGGTTGTTATTGTCATTAGTCTACATTTTATCAAATTTCACTAGAAAATCTTTTAGAGTTATTTTACTATTGTAAATAAATTGCGAGTTGCTCCCAGCTTTTGTATCATGTAATTGATGTTACATACTTTCACATCCTATATTAATCAAACTTTTGTGTAAATTAAAGACTTAAAGTACATCTTTAATTATTACGGACTATATTGCTATAAAGATTAGGTAGTGTGAAAAATGACAATATGGGACATAGAGAAGGGGTAACCAATTTCAATGTCAGTGTAATCTAGTACTCCATATAACGTGATAATTTTTTATTTTTTATGATCAATTAGTACTGTATTTTACTAAATTTCTTTATTTTACAGTCATAAATATTAAAGAGGAAAATTTATAATATATACATAGACAAGTTTATAAGAAAAAAGTTGTCCAATTATTTGAGCAAATAAAAAAGGTAATCGTGCATGCATTGTGTGCGCCTCTAAACTTGTAACTTTAAAAAGAACACTTAGTCAATCGGGAACAAATATAATTCAAACATACTGAAACAGAATATCTTCATATCTACAAGCTATCATGTTTTCCACATAAAAAATCCTAGGTTGTCAACAAGAAGAAAGAACTCTGGTGTACAATATAATTTGATTAACTTAAAGTCAAGTTTATTTTCACTCCTCTAATAGAAAAAGAAGTTTCCATTCCACCACTCCGCCCCTTTCCTTTGAGACTTAGAATGATTTAGCAATGGTTACAAATTTACAATCACTTGTTTTCGTCAGAACATGGTCACTTTGTAATATCAGGAGAACATCTATACAAGATAATATGGGAAGGAGAACAATATAATGGGCAAAAACTCTGGACTAAAGGCACATCATTGCATAATTGTTGCATATTTTGAGCATTCTCTAAACAAACTAGATTCAACTAAAAAAACGCTGGAACCAAAATATAACAATGATTAACAACAATGAGAATTCATCATGCTACAAAATGTTAATCAAACAAGATTAATTCCTAAAACCCCTGCTAAGTAAATAATAGTATCAACTGAAATCACCACTATATACTTGACTAAAGAACAACTTACAATTTATCGTCATAATCAATCTTCTTCAACTTCATACAGCCCGGATAGAGCCCCCCTTGGACTGCATATAGATTTGCAGTAGATAAGGTATCTCAGTAGAGTACTTGGTAACATACAGATCAATAAACTCCTTTTCTGATATATTAAGCATCCAAATGAACCGTGTACACTTAGTTAATTTCCTCTCTATCAAAATCTTCCAAACAGTGAACCTTGGAACAACCCTTTTCTCAATTGAATACGTCAAAACTTTAGGATAACCAATAATAGTCTCCCTATCAACCTTTACTGTATTAACAAAATAATCCATAGCATTCCTAAGTTTCTTCTCAGAGCAAGACAAACAATGCGGAGTCCTAGTAAAAGTCGATATAACCTCCTCAGTAGACCACCCTAAACTCTCAAAGACCGAAACCTTCCTCTTCCAGCTCAACTTACTATGTGACATTATGACACGAAGGTTGTGTATATACTTAACATCAGTAGGCTTTACCCCCATACATCTTATCATTTTCACTGCATATTTGATCCTTGAAATATCTTGGTACAAACACCTAGGCTGCAAAACAAGCAACTCCTCGATTCGTCTCTCGGGCACCCCTTGTTCAATCAAACAATCCAGATTCTCTTGCAGTCTTTTCCAATCAGAAGTAACCAAGACCCACTATGAACTGTAACTAAAAGCTTATCAGGGCAGCTCACATATCTATTAATTATACCCATTGCAGGCTTCAATTGCGCCTTTAAACTCCGAAACAAAATCGCCGGAGAAGCAACCACAAGCCTAGGAAGATACAAACCCTTAATCCCATTTTCTACTAGAAATCTAAGCTTAGGTTCAAGATTACTTGTAATCCTACAATTAAGAACAGCTGGGTGTTTCTCAATAAGTCTAATAATATGAGCATTAGAAAAATTATGGGATTTCAAAAACAAAACAACAGAATCAAATCGTTTCTTGTTCTTCTCTTCTAATACAACTCTATTCGAGGCTTTAATTGCAGAATCCAACGAAAGTCCACATGAATTTGTTAAGTATTGAATTGGGAAAGATGATAAATTAGGTAGGATTGATTTAGAAATCTCAGATTTAATCTTCCTTTTACGGAATTTAGGGTTTTGGGGAAATGGGTGTGCATCAAAGAAGCATTTTTGGAGAAAGGAAACTACCCTTTTGAAAGGAAGATTAGCTGCCATTGTTGAGTTTGAGTATGCTATTAAGAGATGAAATTGAAATGAGAAGAAATTGAAATGAAAGAGAATAGTGTAGACCTGAGAGAGTGTGATGCTAGTGGCAGTTGCGGCGCAGAAGAAGACGACGGCAACGCGAGCGAGCGAGCAGAGTGTTGGGGTTGTGTGGGTTTTGAGCGGGGAAAAACAAGGGATTTGTTAAACATCGCCCGCAAATTACCATATAAAGCCCACAAATATGACTTGGTATGACAATTATGCCCATTTTCTAAAATTGAACAAATCTCGATTTAAACAATGTGGAGCCGTACTGGCTCGTCGGGGGAGACCGGAGGGCAGGCCGGAGATGCGGGGGACGCCGGAGGTACGTCGTCGTCGACGGAAAACGAGGTAAGTCACCGTTAAAATTCACGGTGTACGTAACGGCGTCTGAAAGAGGTGGCCGTGCAGTGGCTCCGGCGCCTAGGGATGGACGCTCTTACCGTAGCATGGACGTCCAAGCCAGACGCCAGAACCACCACATCGGCGTCCAGCCCAGACGCCCAGACCACCAGACAAGCGTCCTGGCCAGACGCCAGTCCATTGGCTAAGGCGGCCCTGCCAGGCGCCAGTCCAGTGGCTGTGGCGGGGCCCTGGCAGACGCCACCCATAATTTATTTTTTTTCTTTTTTGATTTTGTTGTTTTTTTTTGATTTTTTTTTTAAAATCGAAAATGATTATTTAAAAAAATTCGAAATTGTTTATATTTGAAAAATCGAAATGGGTTTTTTTAAAATTAAGTTTGAAAATTCAAAATAAGTTTTTTTAAAATTATGTTTGAAAATTCGAAATGGTATTTTTTTAAATTAAGTTTGAATATTCGAAATGGGTTTTTTTAAAAATGAAGTTTGATTGTTGAGAAAGGTTTTTTTTAAAAATTAAGTTTGACAATTCGAAATTGTATTAAAAAAAATTGGAAATGGTTTTTTTTTTTTTTAATTTATTTCAAATTGGAAAATTCGAAATGTGTTTTTTTAAATTATGTTTAATAATTTAATGTTTTTATTTATGTAGTGAGTAGATTTGTGTTAATATATACCAAAATATTTAATTGTTTATGTGACTTTTATAAATGATTGTGTTTAAAATTGTATGTGTATGTGTATGAATAATATTATACATAATTATGTTTTTTTTGTGTTAATTCTGTGTAAATATAGAAATTAAATGTATTATCCGTTAAATGTATTTATTATAATATATAATTGATGCAGGATTATGGTGGAGACGGAAATGATTACAGTGGGATATTTGGACATGATGGTCCATTCGAAGAAGCTCAACAAGCGATTGATTGGGCAAAACAGGTTGCAATTGCAGCTGGATTTTGCTTGGTAGTAGTAACTCATAAATCTCAACGGGATGGTAGAATGGATCGCATTTTGAGATGTGACTGTTATCGCAAAAGAGAAGAAAGAGATTTTCGTACAGCCACTCGGTTTGATACAAAGCGGAAAGATTGTGGGTGTGAGTTCAGAGTAAAGGTTCGACAACTACAGAGTCGTGACGGTTGGGAAGTGATTGGTTACTCTAAATGGGGGTATCACAACCATGAGATGATAGTATATGAAGAGGGTCATCGACAGCTGAGCGGCTTAAGTCCTGCTGCGAAATTAGTTGTGAAAGAAATGAGTGATGCTCAAGTCAAGCCTGCTAAAATATTAGCATCTGTGTTAGAGAAATTTCCAGAAGACCATCCAAACCGAAGACACATCTACAACGTCAGACAGCAACTCAGGTTTGAATGGTCAGAGGGAAGGAACCCTATACAACAGCTGCTACACCAGGCACAATCACGTGGTTACCTGTTCTGGTTTGATTCTGATGAAGATACAGCGGAGGTGACTCATCTTTTCCTTGTGCATCCTGATTGTGCTGATATGATCAAGTCTTGGCCATTTGTGATTTTGATCTGGGGCAAGCAGGAAACGGTCGGACTGCCTTCATCGGGCATGCCGGGGGAGGAGGGACAACTTGGACAAATCCAAGCTGGCGAAGACAACGCTGGGGCATGTACGCCTCGACGATCTCACGATACTGAATGAGTCCCGTGTACAAGGTCCTGGGTACCCTAACACTAGGGTTCGGGCCGAAAGGCATCCAGTTCACCTGCACATAGTTTTAAAATTTAATAACATGAATATAATAAGTGCATATAATAAAATGTATTCTATAATTTATAAACGTTACCTCTAAGGGGGACAACCTGTCAAGAAATAACCGTATCGATCGGAGGCGGTCAACGGACTTCTTCTCCGAGCGCGGACTCCACGCACAAGCACGCGGCATCCCCTCATCAATAGGAATCGAGTCACGATGTGGTCGCAATGTAGGAAAGTACTCGTATATCCAGGTCTGCAATAAAGTCAGACACCCAGTGATACCTGCCGCGTCAGCCCGACTCGCAAATCCTAGTTGGCGATACAAATACGCCAACGTAGCCTATCCCCAAGAAAACTGGCCTACACTGTCGGGGTCACACGCCTCTACTATGTCGCGTGGCCTGAGCTTGTTTCCGCCGCTCTTATCCGGAAACAAGGTACATCCGAGGAGTAGAAAAACATAAGCAGCCAGCTGTGCGTCGTGCGTCCTACGTGCAATGGGGTACAAACACCGCTGCAACACGGATGCGATCTTCACACCACCGTGTTCCCAAACACCAAGCGCCTCGGTGTACAGTGCAGCCCTGTCCACCGCCAACAACTCTGCCAGCAAGTCTGCCTGATCCGCATCAGCCACAGCACAAAGTCGTTTACCCTCAACACGAATCCCCAGAATGGCCTCGACGTCATGTAACATGATCGTCATCTCACCGAACGGAAGGTGGAAAGAGTTTGTATCCGGCTGCCATCGCTCAACGAAAGCCGTGATCAGCGTAGTGTCAATCTTATCGTGCATAGTGGCAGGAACGTGATTCACCCCAGTGCCCTCCAGTCGCTCGAACATCTCGCTCTCCACCGGCCAAGCCTTAACCCATGTACGCAAAAAGCTACAAGTCTTTTCCCGGGTATGACATTTCAACAACCCCGTAACTGAAGGCCTCTCCTGGTCCTCCCAAATACGGGCAGCTATGTGTCCTAGAAAGCTAGGAATAACACTCCCGTCAACAGGCCCACCGGACACCTCACTCCTAACAACCCAAGAATCATTAACAGCCCTCGACCGTTTCCTGCTTACCCTAGATACAGTGGACGCAGATGATGTGCCAGATCTACTAACAAACCTACCACCCCTACCCTTACGCACCTCCACCATATGTGTCTCGTACATGTCATCAACCCTCTGACTGAATGAACCGTAATCATCATACGGTCCACTCCCATCGTCCACATCCTCATCCTCATATGCGTCCTCCTCCTGCTCCTCCTCCTGGTCACCCTCCTCAACATCATCATCGTCATCGTCATCCTCATCCCGACGGTGGATCCGTTCTCTACGAGCCGAGGCCGAAATACCACAGGATCTAACATGTCTATGCCCTGACCTCTCCACTGAATAGCTTCTACTAAGAAGCTCTACATTCTTCCCCGCACCATGACGACCCATTGAATTCTACAAAAAATTTAAAAATATATAAACATACAAAAGTTTTTTAGAAAAATAAATAACTACCTACAGATACAAAATACCAACACTTCCAACATATCGTCATGTTTATAAACATAAAATTAATAAAGATTATAAAAAATCAAAGACATAATAAATAAATAGGACACAAAACAAAATTTCAAATTATTTCAACTAATTCAACATAGAAAAATATTATACGGCATACACAAATACACACATAATACCCTAATATATTACAAAATTCATGATTTCCAAAAAAAATAAACATTATTTCAAATAATTAAACATTAAAAATAAAAAACAAATATATTACACATACACAAATACACACATAATACCCTAATGTATTACACATTTTAAATAAAAAAAACAATTACACATTAACACAAACAATTTCCACATACTACATCAATTAAGGTATAAAAAATGTTTAAACATCAAACATAAAAAAAATAAAACATTAACACAAAAAAAAATAATCTGATTTTATAAAAATAAAATATACACGATTTATAAAAAAAAAACACATAAAGTTGATAAATATTTTAAAAAAAATAAAACACATTAACAAAAAAAAATTAGACATAAAACAAAATTATTTTAAATAAAACTAAATTTTTGATTTTGCAAAATAAAAAAAAAAAAAAAAACAAAAAAAAAGGGTCGGGTGCCTGGCTAGGACGCCCACCCACTGGCGGTGGCGCCAGCTCC